TATGAGAAAAGGAAAAAATGGAAACAAAATCTTTGCAAACAGGGAAGGGTGGAGAGGGTGAAGGGAGGTCAGGGGAAGGGGAAAAAAAATAAGAACCAACATACTCATGTAAAGTTACAAGATCCCAGTGATGAATGTAACTCTATTTTATACCTAAAATGTACCAATAATCTTAATAGGGAAAAAAGAATGTATTTCTTTTTTGAATGAAAACTACAGAAATATGGAACTGTAATTATGGTCTTCTGCCACTCTCAGTTACAGAACCACTCAAATAAAATGATGTAAAATCAGAAGAATATGGAGAAAATAGAAATCTTGAGGAAGAAACAGTATATGTGAACATCTGAGTACTTAATCTCCTTTCTGCTTCTCAGAGTCCTGAAAAAGACAACTCTCTACAATACATGTCTATGTCTCTGATTTTATACCTATTTATCTGTGAAGATCTGATACTATATCAAGTAGTATGAGGGTCATGATTACAGATCTATTTCCTTGCAAAAATTATACTAGCAATCTTGGCTCTGACATCATGACCATTTATAAAAAGTGGCTAATAAATATTAATGAGTAGTGAGTCAGTTAGCTAATTTAAGAGTTTATTTAGAGTGATTAATTATCTGGTACTCGTGATATATTTGTTTTTGTCTATTTTACTAAGAGATCTAAAATATATGTGTATTTCTCACCCTCAGTCTCACAATTCTCAATTATTTCCATGACCATTTGGAAACAAGAATGTTCTTAGTATCTTTTCAATCAAAAGTGAAATAAATTTAATCTGCAAGCTTTTCTATCTTTTTAAAAAATTATTTCATGTTCATAGTGTTGTCACTCTTTCACTGACATTTTCTTTCCCTTTCTGTAATATAAATTTCATAAAACTGCTCTCCAAGAAGTTGTTCAAAGTAACAGTTTTTTCTTAACATACTACTAACATCTTCCTTGCTCCTATTCATTCATTTATTCAATAAATATTTAACTACATTCTATGTTGCGTGCAGTTTTATACAACAGCGATACACATGTGAACAAAATAAAGTCCTGCCTTTGTGAAACTTACATTCTAATGGGAGAAGCAAACAAAAAGTAAATATATAATTGAATAGGTAGTTTTAAGAGCAGTGGTTTCAAAGCATGGAATTCATATTCAGGAAAAGTCATCCATGTATTTCACAATTACCTCAACAACATGGACATTCAAATACACATATATTAAACTTAAAACCCGTTATTGTAAACTGACGCATTAATTTTGTGTTCTTGAACCTCTTTCAGATATATTATTGATTATGAAGGCTGCAGCTTTACCCTTTTGTTTTGTAAAGTCTAACAAATCTGTTCATGTGTATTATACAACAAAAATCAAATATAAAAAACAAATTTTTCTTGGCTGGCTGTACAGCTTATTATAACTTATAAAACCAATACTATATACCAATGAAGTACAATATTTATTTATTTTAATAGGTGTTATTAACTGGGGTTTCAAATAGGACTTCTGTAGAGCACCACTGCACAAAAGAAACCAATATAGAATTTTTAGCAGAGAAATGACATGGTTACCATTGTATTTCAGAAGCAATATTATTATAACAAAATTAAGTGTAATAAGATAAAACAAAAAATGAGAAAATTAGAAAATGAAGACCAAGCTAGAAAATATGGTGAAATGGACAAGTATCAGCATAGAAAAAGGGGCATAAACTTCTGAAACATTAAAGAAATAAAATAGAAGTTGATGATTCATTAGACGGTAGAGAGGGCAATGGTTTTCAAAAGAGCAGAGTCTAGATACACAGTACTTTAATTTCAGCTATGTTGAAAGGTATAAGTACCCAGACTCCTTAATATTCAGAATAGAATGTTTTTTGCACATGTAATCAGTGTGTCTAAATGAATTCCCTTTTGCAATAACAGTTCTAACTTTGGAATTTCCTTAACCCATTTTAATATATTTTATTACAGACCAGATAACCTATTATGCAGTCATATAACCACTTTTTAAAATTAACTACATTTTTATTCAAAGATGCCATAGTATTTTCTCCATTTAGTAAGACTTCAGTAATATTAACACGTTATTCTTGTTATTTATTTGAAAGTTATTACCCAATATTATTATAATAGCATATAATACTATACTATAATGGTTATATGTATTCTACTACAAGGCAATTTTTAAAAAAAATTTTGACAATAATGTAAATATGTTTTTATCATCCCTTACAATTTATGTATTGCCTTCACCATTTGTCTTTTCTGATCTTCCAATAACCTCCTTTCTTTTAGATAAGGAAAGCAGAAATATTTATCCCCACACTACTGTTCCAAAAATCAAATATCGAGGAAGAAAGTAGATAAATGTTTGGCCCAAGATAATTTGGCTGGCAAATAGTAAAGCTTTAAATAAAGCACAAATTTTCTTATTCCTAGATTAGTGCTCTTCCTACATGCCATGTTTTCAAAGTAGTGCATATTTAACTCCTGAAAGGTCCCATGACCATCTCTTTTCTGAATAAATAGCTAGATGGCTGTATATTTCCTTTTCTTCTCCTTTAGTCGCACAGTTCCCTGAAACTTTTTATTTAGAAGCCTTCAGTACCAACTTTATAACTTTAACTACCTAATACCAGTCTGCTTCACAAGTTTACCCTTCCTATACCAATTTTATCTCTGGTAAAATTCTTCTGCATCACTATGATATCCATGAATAGAGGGAATGTAGAAATGAAATTTTTTCAAAATCTAGGAATGGAAATAACAATATGTCAAAGATTACAGAATCAGAGTATAATTCCCTACTTTGTTCAAATTTGGTCACCAAGACTGTTATCTATTTGTCTCATCACTATTCAGTTCTTCCGTAACCTCATGAAATATCTATTACTTCATGTTGAGGGGAAAATCACTATTGTGTACAAATTTCACAAGATAGGTTAAATCTATTTAATGTAATTGTAAATAAACTTGGCTTTTAAGTAAATTAATAATTATATGCTTAATGTTTTTCTTATGATCCTGCTAGGAATACAGGCTGAGACAATGATTAAAACTTATCCCATTCTACATCATTTGTGTACTACTCAAAAATAATTTTAATAATTTCAAAAAACCTTGTTGAAACATCAAAATATTTGGTACTTAATTTCTGTGATTTCAAAAGCTTACTATTTTTTCTTATGTATTCAAACACATTTATAAAACTATATTTATCTGCATAAAGCATGTCAAAAGCACATTTGGAGGAAACTAAAAAAAGGACAATAAAGATAACCATGTCATAAAGTGATACTATATATATTAACATACTTGTTTTGCAAATTCTCATCTTCTCTTCCTGTCAGAAATTCTTTTCTTGGCTTATCAGAATTTCATCATCAAAGCATAATTACCTAAAATGTTTTCTTAGTAAACTGTAACACTGGTTATATTCGAGTTCTTACAAGTATTACAGGTTCCACAAGTATGAACCCCACAGCATATATTTGTTGTTTTTTTTCATACTTATGAAGAGCTGAAGAAGCTAGGGATATTTTTATGTTCAGAATTTAAGTCAGTGTCATTGGACCCTTTAAAATATTTATTTTGTCATCATCTATTTAATTCTAGCAACACATTAGCAGTTCTATTAATTTTATACTGGACAGTGATACAGAATAACAATCAGCTTCTCTGAATGACAACATATGAAACCAAATGACTATTTTCTCTTTAATTTACTGCTTATAAGTAAATGTTATATTTCATCTACTATGGGGCCTTAACATTATCCTGCAAATTCTACTTTTTATGATTATTTCTTCCATTAAACTACCACTGCTATTTAAATTGATGCCAAAGTTGATGCCTGAAATATCTTTATTAACTCAAATTGACCTATCCTTAGGATTCGTTGCACCACTGTGTTAGATGCTGGCATCTCAACAATTCCCAATCAAAAATTCCTAGTGTGATGTTTTATTTATTTTCTTGTTTTTCCACACCAATATAATAAAGAAATAGTAAGTCTCAAGCAATTAAAACTTACCTTGCAAATCTGGAAATACTCTGAAGTCAGGGTTTCCTGAATTTCCTCTCTGAGAACTCCTGCAGGCCCTCCGGGATGCAAGGGACCACTTCCACTTCCAGCCCCACCACTGTTACTGCCTCCGCTGCTGCCACTGCCAGGAGAGGAGGCAGTAAAGCCATCCAAAACTTTTCGAAAATTAAACTTCTTCATTTTAAACACTGTTGAGAGATTCAAAGGAAAAGAGAATGGGGTAACTTACTACATAGAATTATACCAGGTAAAATTATTTATCTTTCAATAGTCAAGGCAGGAGTAGCCAGTACCCATTTTATGAGCATTGGCTACAAACTGGGAAAGAAGAGATTCTTCATTTTGTCAAATTTCAATTCTAAAACAACATATCTTTATAAAATAAATAAAGACAACTCCAAGAGCAACAGTATTTCCTCCTCATACATCAGATTTTCAAGGGCTTTATCCCCAGCTGTAGCTATACTTGAACAGCACTGGGGTAAAAATAAAAGGCAGTGTCATCCTCGTCATTACCATTATATCATCATTATTATACAATCAAACCAGAATTCAAAAGACCAAGACCCTCTACGTCTCTCTTAAAGGCGGGATTTCTTTCTAAAGGGTCAGCTCAGAATATTTTATTTTCAGAAAAACGCTGATGGGAGGGGGGGGTGCTGGAATTTATTCTGCTACCATCTTCCGCGCTGCCTCCCTCCCCATCATCTTCAACCCTCCCTTTTTTTTCTCAATAGGAAATTTTGGAGGCAAAGATGCCTTTTATTCCATTCCTCATCCCCAGCAGTCCGGAGCCCAAAACATCTGCAGGTGACTGGCACCACAGCCGACGGGAGGAGAGAGCGCGGCGCCGGCCGCCTCCACTCGTCCCCGGCCCTTCGTCTTGTCCTGGCCCCCCAGTTCCCGGCCGCCTCACGCCCGAGCCTCTCAGCCCTCACCCTCAAGCCACCCCCGCCAGCGGCCGTCGCGGCGCTCTCCAGCCCGCCGTCCGCTCTCTCCGCAGCACAGGAGCAGCTCTCAGGGGACGCGAGGCGGCGGCGGTGGCGACGGCTGCGGCCGAGTCCCACCTCAGCCCGCCGGGCTCGCAGAGCCGGGCGTCCGCCGTCGCTCCCCAGGCCGAACACCCCGCGCGAGCACACATATACCCTTACCACACCGCTGCGCACCCGGGGAGTACACACACGCGCACACAAGCGCGCCCTCACAGACCCTCGCCCGGGCGCGCGCGCACACACACACACACACACACACGCAAGCACACGCACGCAGGTGTGAGCGAAACGCGGCTGGACGGCTGCCGCGGCGGCCCCGACGAACGACTATCGGACCCCTGACTTATGCACCTTCCTCAGAGGCCGCTAGCTGCCTGCCAGCCCGGGAAGCGAAGGGTGCGGAGGGCGACGGGCTCGAATGCGTAGATCCGCCCGGCTCCAGCCGCTTCTCTGGTCTCACTGGTCGCGGCAATGAACGCTCTCCGAGGTCCTAACCGAGCAGGCGGGCTCCCCCGCAGGCTCCGCCCCCGGCCGTGGAAGCAAGCCCCGCCCCTGAGCCTCGCGCTCCGCCCACCGCCTCCAGAGCGCAAGGGGCGGTGAAGGGGGCGGGGCGCTCGGTGACGTCCGAGGGCGGGAATCACCTCGCCGCCATTCCCGCGGTCGCGAGTCGCGGTAGGAGTTTGGGGATAGGCTGGAGGAAAAGCCAATGAAAGGAGTGTGGGAGAATTTAGAAAGCCGGGTGTTTGATTGACGGCGGTATTGGCCAGTACACCCCGGCGCCATGCTTTAGGGGCTGTAATTGGCGCTACCTGTTAGAGGATGCTATTGTGAATCAATAGAATGCCTAGAAGCTTGCGAACTTAGCCGCCTGGAGCGGAGAATGCAGGAAGGTTACCTTAGGTCTTGGGTCTTGCTCCAGACAACATTGTGAAGGAGACATGTGTTTTGCAACTTTTCACCTCTATAAGCCTCTTCCCTCTGGCCAGGTGCGTCTACTTCCCTGCCACCTGCTCTCAATTTATATTTGTAATTAACCCCTGCTGAACCTAGTAGTGTTTTAACCAGTTGTCTCTGCCAGAATGAATTGTATTTCAAAACAGTTTTAGTTTAATATACCGTACAGCCCTCCAGTTCCTAAAGGATTACTTACCTTGTTCACTCTTAAGAAATAGAATTACTCCTTTCCCTTCATCTTCACATATACAGAGATGTTTAATTTTTAAAAAGACACATTTCTCTCATTTAGTAAAATGTGTCGAGAATAAGAATACATTTTAAGCTTTTTCTCTGAGTCAATAATCATTTTGGATGATACACTATTCAGTGTTGGAAAACAGAACACGCCATCAGGATAGGAAAAGGTAGTTTTGAGCCCTGACTTGCTATTGAACTAGGGAAAATTTGAACCTAGCTTTGTTCTTCTGTAAAAATGAAGGGCAGCTCAGGGAACATCACCAACTATAGACTTCAATTTGGGCAAAACAACAGAGCTCATTAGTAATTATTCCACATGCGTATTGCATTACATCTTACAAATCTAAGGCCTGTTTCTCTCCCTCCCTCTCTCCCTCTCTCCCTCTCTCCCTCTCTCCCTCTCTCCCTCTC